TTTGAACCGCTGAACTGCAGATAACAGTCAGCTGAAGTGGCCTGCAGTGCTGCACCCTAACCACTGCGCCACCTCTATCTAAAAACCAATTGTTCCTGTTAGATTTATTTGGGGATAATGGTATGATTATGGCGACTGAGTTGTGGAGGAGCGTGCGCACACTCCGCTCCATAACACCACAGAGGCGTTTTTGGCATAAATGATCAGATGGAGCTGAACAGGGGTTGTTCTTAGGGGTTCATTACAGAGCGCAGCAATGTTGCTTGGCTTTTAAATAGCAATGAAGGGGCCATTGGCCCCCCCATCTGCCTAAACCCTCCTTTGCTAGCAATCGCTGACTCAGTTCCAGGTTCTTCTTTCTACCAGCGCATTGAGCAAAGTTCCTTAAATTCAGCATGGACCCAAGGGAAGACTGCGCCTAAAGGAACAGCACGCAGGTTCTTCATACTGCTATCATTTCAGAATATTCTCCTTTTGCCTGTTCTGATTTGTGACGATTTAGCTTTGGTGTTTTTCCTCTTGCAGTCTGTTGTATTTTTATATCGATGGCTCGTAACCCAAAAAACAACCTGTAAAAGTACAACTGACCAGAACAGCCGTTGCACTGGGAGTCCGTGGCCTAGAAATTAACGAACTAAATAAGTGTTATAAGGGCATATTTGAATTAACACCCGGTGTACGTGGAGGAATGGGGCTGCATGTCTCTCTTCTCCTCAAGGTCCACCCGTCCAAAGCTCTTCGATGGACACGCTCCTTGTGAGCTGCAGATCCTCAAAGGTTGTCCTGATGGATTGGGCCGTCTCTGCCTCCAAGTTAAGGAGGAGGCCCTGAGAGGTGGAAAGCAGCCACCGGGAGGATCCAGGTGCTGAGCCTGTCCTGAGTAGGGATGTCCAGTTCAAGAGGGCAGTTCGGATGACCCAGTTGGCTTCTATGGCTCCAGGAGAACCCACTCTGCTGGGAATGCAGGAGTTGTTAGAAAGCCATGGTAGTTTATCCTACATTCCTCAAAGAAGGACAAACGTGAATGTGAGAAGCTTCCAGCTAAGAACAAAAGTCAGGGGAAATTATCATTCTGGTAGGGAAAATTACCAAGTCAATGCATTGAATGTCCATTTTCTTCTTTACATGAAAAAAAAACAATCTTTTTTTAGGCCTGGGAGCAGTCAGATGGCAGCATCTATTTTCCAAATATCCAGCTTTTAGCAAGCGAAACTTCCAGTTTTCTGGTGAAAGAAATCAAGATGAAAATGAATGGAAATCCAGCAGGTGAATCTCTTTATGTATCTAGCCTGCAGCCGGCTCCCTGCTTTCTGCTTTATCTTGTTGTTGAGAAGATCGGTGCCAACCACGTCCAACAGACATTGAAAAGTCTTTATAGCTCTGTTTGGTTCAGGCCAGGTCAGGACACCAGTTCATTCCTTTACGGGGGGAACGATGGAATGAATGGTGAGGGTACGGAATGGGAGAATTCTATAAAAATTGTAAGTAGCCACAGACTAACAGCTAAAACAGGGCAGGAAGATTCATCTTGTACTAGGTAAGACTGCAGGGAAAATTCCCAGAGTCAGCAAGGACCCAGGAAATTATGCTACTTTCCTAGAACGGCTGTAATTTAGTGGCTGCTTTATGCGGCAGTTATTTCGAGTGGGCTGGATGGATTTCTGAATGGCTTTGTGTTGTGAGCACACGGGCAGAGTAATGATGTTCTGCAGCCGTGTTGTTCTTCACGCTTGTCTGGCTTCCGTCCCCACTGGCACCTCTGCCATCCACTGACCCTCTTGCTCCTTTCTTGCACGGTGTGAATATCGGCTGCCACAAGAACAGAAGACGCTCGGCTGCTTGTGTGGCAATTTCTGCAGTGGAAGGGAGAGCTGGATTCTGCCGGTTACCTGCTGCTAAAGTCAATCTACTCACTTTCACTCTACACCTCGGTAAGAGAAAGCCCTCCCCCCTCCTCTTCATGCAGCTGGAAGCGCTGGCCTCAAGGCCGCCTGAACGCTCCATTCACTCGTCTGACTCAATCAAACGGAAGCCTTGATTGTGGTTATAGGTCAGCATAGGACGGGTGGTCAAAAGCACAGAATCTACATCACAGTCTGAAAGAGTTATGAAAAGTGGAACATATACCTGTATCTGTATCTGTATAATCCTTAGTATCTCTTTTTTTCCTTGAAAACTCACTTTTTCACTTCTCATCCAAGAAGCCTCTTCACCTCTGAAGAAGGGAACTATTGGCTTGGCATTGAATAATTTGAGCCCTGCAGATACCTGGGGGGGCGGGGGGGGCACCTTTTGTCCTAAAGTAATTTAAGGATGTGTATTTTCAACCACAGGGTCTCCCCGGGGGGCTTTCCTCCTGCTGACAAAATAGAGGACTAACTCCCCCGGGTGCTTGAAAATCTTACCAAGGGAGACTCCTGGTCCTGGGGCAGCAGCCGTGGTTTCAGTTGTGCGGCAGCTGAGTGCCAGGCCTCCTTCCGTCCATTCCCGAGGTCTCCCTCAAGGCCAAGAGGTGCTCTGGGAGGACGGCTGCCGTAGATGCGTAGAGTAGGACACGGTTGAGTCTTCTGGATTATTGCTGGAGCGTTGAGGGGGGAGGCAATGCACAGGCCAGCAGGCGTCTCCACACCGGGAAGAAGTAGGCAGACACCAAACTTTAGAAAAAGGACCAAAGGGAAAATTGCAAGAGGAGGTCAATTAAAAAAACAACAACTCTGAACAATTATCTGTACCCCTTTTCCCACCAGTCTTATTTTTCCCCCCATGTTCTCTGGGCGGATTCTGAAACGAGCATCATTTCTTTGGGGCAGGAACAGGAACTCCGGTGGAATATAATCAAGTCTGGGCTGCCTGTGACGCTGCTGCAGTGCCTGCACCTCTTCTTCGTCTCTGCCGGTCTGGAAGTGGCTCCTTGGGACAGGCGAGAGGAGGAAGAAGGGGAGGAGGAGGAGGAGCAGGCCCCGCGGGAGACCCAGGAAATGCTGGTGCAGGTGGGTAGGGGCCCAGTCTAGAAACAGGCTGATTATTTGAATCAAATGGTGGTCTTATTGTTCTTGTTTACTTTCAGACAATGGTCAATATCTATGCAGAAAAGCAAGGAGTGGAGATGCTTCTCATGTCTAGTCATCTTAAATCTTTGATCATAGCAAGATCCTCCCGCTGGGATCAAGGCAGCCCCGCTTGGAAGCAGCCTGCAAGCCGAGTGCTACGGGCGATTTCAGAGGCCCTTTCCGAGACCACCATTTCATACCTGCAAGGTAACTGGCCCTGATTTGCCCTGGCCTCAATTCATGGGCCTCAGTCCCTCATCCTTGCTCATTTAAGGAGGGGTGTGTGTGTGTGTGTGTGTGTGTCTGGCCAGGACATCCCCGTTTTGGTTTTTCATAATTACAAAAGATTCTTTGTTTTCTAATGGAGCAGAATTGCATCCCCCTGTGGTGTTTTGCACAATGTGCTTTTCTTTCCTTAAATGCACAGATCCTGTTTTACCTGCAAAAGCCTGATAATTATTTCTAAATTTTCTGGGCAAAACATTTTCTGCGCCTCTTGCTTTGCAGCTCTTACTTTCATCCATGGAGGCGGCTCCTTGGCTGGGCTGCATCCCCTTGGAAGTTGCTTCAGTAATCCGCCAATCTTGTTCTCTGCTCTTTGAACTAATAAACCCCCTTTAAAAACAAATTGTTTCATCAGCTGAAATGTGGCCATTTTGGGTGGTCATTTTCTTTAAGGACCGTTGCAAGCGCTGTGAGCCACAACGGCAGATTCCCGGCCTCTCTTGCTGGCCTTTCCTGCTGTGTGACCGGGAGAAGTTTCTTGAATCGGCTGCCGCCGCAGGCGCTGGAACGGTTGAGATTATTTGGCATTGTTTCTCCTTTAGCCCCGGGCTGCTGTCCAACTTTTCATAGGGTTTCGATTAGAGTAATCCAATTTGAGTAATCCATCAGGTTGCTGACCCTTTGACTAGATCCAGTAAGGCTCTAAATATATTCTTACACTTATCCTTTCTTGATTCAAACATTATTTTTTTCAAATTCAAAGGTTACATGTTATATTTTTGTATGCATGAAGCATAATGTAAATTAATCTTATGGTGCCAGAAGAATAAGTAGAAATTTCTGTAAAACAGAGTGAGGATGACTATAATCTTACATGTGGCGGCTACTTATTACATGCAATACTTTCCTATCTACAGATTGCATCAAAACTTCCATTCACAATTTGTCAGAGCTTGATGATTCCTCGCCTACTTGGGAAGTATGTGAATCCATCAATATTATCCTGCATTTTGTGAGGAATTCCTACCCGATTTCCCCAGCCTTGCTTTTGGAGTTTGAGAACAATGGTGGGCACCAGCTGCTGTTGAAATTTTTTTTAAGGCAAGTCAATTGATAGCATAGGGGCTGCCAAGATGTGGCGCTGACAGATTTCTCGCCTTACAGTTTTATTTAGGGGGAAAATACTTTCAAGTACTTTTTAACATTCATGTATCCTTGTAAATGCAGATTTCTTTCCAGTGATGGAATTGAGGTGTTAAACCATTCTGGACAAAGACTACAATAACATGTGGCATCTAAAATGCCGATTATTCTGTTTTCTTGTATGGACTTTTTCCCTTTAGACTCTGCCCAATTGTTCTTCAGGGATAGGTTTTAATAACTTTATCTCACACTTCTTGCAAACATCAATCAAAGCTTGTGGCTTTTTCTAGGCAGGTTTGTCATGTTCAGGACAGAACAAAAGAGCACATGACTTGTAGCATCAATAGATCAACAACTGTAGGCTCATCCTTGCTAAAGCTGAGCATCCCATGGGGCTTCCCCGCCCCCTCCCAGTGAACTGTCCTGATGCAGCACCAGGGCTCCTTCCCCATCAGTGGCCCCGGGAAACCAGAGGATGCCAGCAGAATCCCTTGGAGAGGGAAACCCTTCGCCCCTCCCAAAAGCCCCTTCAGGAGGACACCAACCCTTTCGCAAAGCCCAGCAGCCGACTGAGCAACCACGCTTTAAGGAGAAAGAGGGATTCCTTCTTCTAGGGCTTCACAGATTACAAGAAGTGATAGTATCGCTTTGCACCACACTAGTGAGGTCACACTTGAATACAGTTGTGTCCAGTTCTGGTCCCCATGATACAACAAAGATGTTAAATCCAAGAAAGAGTGCAGAGAGCAGCAACAAAGAGGATTAGGGGCAGAGGGGGTATTCAGTCGGTTCAGACCGGTTCAGGCGAACTGGTAGCGGAAATTTTAACTAGTTCAGAGAACTGGCAAATACCACCTCTGGCCCCGCCCCTGCCCACCCGGTCTCCCGGTCGCTGCTTGCCCCACCCGCTCACCCCACCCTACCCACCGCCCGACCCTGCCACTCTTCATCTTGCACCGTTGCTGCCTGCCTTCCACTGTGGCACTGTCAACTCCTGGGCAGGCCTAGGCCGCCTCAAGTCCTGGTTGACTCGACTCCCGGCCCGGTATACCTGCCTCCACCGCTGCCACTGCAAGCCCCAGTCAAGTGCTGGCTCCTGGGCCGGCCTAGGCTGCCACCTCAGGGTGGACACAGTGAGGCTCAGCTGCCTTTCAGACCCGGCTCTGGCCAGCCTTCCACCCGGATGTCACCCACCTGCTCTCTCTCTGCCTCGGGTTACAGGACGCACAAGTCGCTGGCTCTGTCCTTCCCGGGGTCTCCGCCCGCATGCCGCCCGCTCGCCCTCTGCCTCGGGTCGGGGAATGTGCCAAGCCCTGGCTCTGTCCTTCCCGGGGCCTCCGCCCGCATGCCGCCCGCTCGCCCTCCGCCTCGCTCACCTTCCGAAGGACAGCCTTGGTGGGGAGGGAGATGGCGAGGCTCAGCCGCCTTTCTTGAGAAGCCTCCAGCCGCTCGTAATTTGTGGCATGAGAAGCCTGTAGCCCTTGGTCGTTTTCAGCACAAGAAGCCTCCAGCCTCCACGGCCACCTTGGTTCTCGCTGGCGAAGAGGTGGCAGCTGGAGGCTTCTTGTGCTGAAAAAGAAGCAGTGGCTGCTCCAGGGGCTTCAGGGAACCACCTGAAGCCTCCGGAGGGCCTCCAGGGGGGAGTGGGAGGGGGGCTCCTATAAAGCCTCTGGAGCCTGGGGAGGGCAAAAAAATGGCTTTTAAAAAAGGCTGAACTCAGAGCTGAACTCAGCTGACAGGGCAACGGCTCGCGTGCCCTGACAAATGGCTTCGCGTGCCACCTGAGTCACGCGTGCCATCGGTTCGCCATCCCGGCTATAGGGCCTCCTGCCCTGAGCAGAGGGTTGGACTAGAAGACCTCTGAGGTCCTGACCAATTTGGTCATTGTATGATTTTTATGTTCTATGATTGCGTGTAAAATGATTCCTCCGCCAATTAAGTCTTCCAGTTGTGTTTCCAGATACAAAGGGCCACTGGACAAAAAAGAAAATGCCAGCATCAAAGAAACACTGGACTTAGTGACACAATTGGCACTTTGTGGGGAAACTGAGCTGAGTGTTTCATGCAATATAGTGTATCCACAACTGCCACAGTTTAATGACAAACTGCCACAACTTAATGAGAAACTGCCCCTTTCTTCTGGTAAGTAACTCAGGTACGAGTGAGTTAGGATAAATGGCATACAAATATAATAAATTATGTCATATAGAAGATTTTAATATAGCCTAATAAATGGAAGGGAAGTGGGAAACTGCCAATAATGTGAAATGCCACGTATTGTTATGCTTACTGACCGCAAGCATGACTGTTCAAGAATTGCAACATAATTTTGTTTCAAGAGAATTAATATTTTATATTGCGTTTACATTTTCTGGTTTCATTGTTCCTTATAAAATGGATAGTAAAAGCTGAATCCTTAGCGATAGACTTGAGCAGAGATCTTTTTATTATTACAAAGTAATAATAAATAAAAATGATTACTCTGCCGAGTGTTTATAAAAGTAAAAAATGGGTCATAAATTAGATAAAACAATAAATATCCTTTATCTCTGTCACCAGTACTATCACATACAAACATACTTCTAACTAAAGATTTCCAAATTCAATTGGATTCTTCTTTAAAAAAAAA